CTAAGCCAAGGTCACACTGTCCATACACACTGGGCTGGGTGCAGAAAACAAGATGATTCAATTGAGGTTAGGATTATAGACTATAGAACCGTAGAGAACTTTAGAAATCATCTGGTCTAAACTTCTAGTTTTATATATGAGGAAACAGGCTTAGAAAAGTGAAGCAACTTGCCTAGAGTCACACAGTTATATTTCTGAAAGACAAATCCATACATGGCCTGTCTTTGGTTTGTTCCTAACCTCACCCTACCTTGACTGTGTAATTCTCTTCCTTTCTCTTCTCCCCACCCTCCCCTTCCCTCTGTCTCTCTCCTCTTCAACACTGGAAATTGTCTGTCACCTAGGAATTTTACTCCACAGGACTCTGTAACTAGGCATGTTTTCAGTATCTTCCTCATCTCCTTCAGCAGTCTAGATATTCTTTTTTTTTCTTTTTAATAAACTGGTAGATTTAATTTACACATATCACAGTTACCTCCCAAAAAACAATGCACCTTTATCCCCATTATACTTTTTATTCTAGGCTGGGTATTCCAGCCTGTGACAGAAATGCATTTCTTAGCTCCTGCCTCTTACCTTCTCTACAAAGCTGGCTTTCCCATCTAGCCCTCCACCTCTACAGCTGCTGCTACTTTATTTCCTTTTTTAAAAAAAATCATTTTTAATTTTCAACATTCACTTTTATAAGATTTTGAGTTCCAAAATTTCCCTCCTCCCTCTTCTACCCCCTCTCCAAGATGGCATGCAATCTCATGTAGGCCATATGTGTACAATCATATTAAACATATTTCTATGTTAATCATGTTGTGAGAGAAGGATCAGAACAAAATGGAAAAACCACGAGAAAGAAAGAACAGAAAACAACAAAAAAAGAGAAGATAGTATACTTCCATCTGTATTCAGACTCCATAAAAAGTAGACTAAACCAGGTTGAGGGTAACTGACAGGCCTCAAACCCAAAGGTGGGTTAGGGGGATTTCTACCCCAAGCATGTGAAGACTTCCCCAGGCAGAATGGGTGGATAAGAACAATTTGTTCCAGTGAAAGCCATGAAAGTGACTGAAGCAGGCATTGTGGAATGCTTAGAGCTTGGTCAGACATCAAAGACACCAAGGTCTGGAGACATCAACAGTCATCCTGACTTTTGTTTTGCTTCTGGACTTCAATGAGTCTGGAAGAGAGAGTGAAGCTGATGATTTTGTGCAATTCTGCCTCACTTAAATCCAAATCATGAGCAAGAATGATGTCATTGGTCTTCTTTAAGAGTTGTCCCACTGACCTTCTAAGGTGTCTTTGGCGGTTGTGGGTTGAGAAGCCTGGAAACCACCACAACTGCCTGTGATTCAGTCCCCTGAGGCCTGCTATAGGTTCGATGCGGCCTGTGCACCCACCCCAAGTTGTCCTCCACTCTCTGCCTGGCACAATATACCTTTCTGATCAATCATCCAGGTTGTCTTGGGCTGGAAATTTGTTTCACTCTGTCTTTTTGTGGGGTTCTGCTGCTTTAGAATTTGTTTAGAGCCATTTTTTTACAGGTTTTTGGAGGGGGTTGGGGGAGAGCTCAAGCAAGTCACTACTTTCACTCTGCCACCCTGGCTCCACCACCCTGGTCTTCTTTAAGAGGAAGGACAAATGGGGCAGCTACGAGAGGAAGTGGATAGAGCACTGGCCCTGGAGTCAGGAGGACCTGAGTTCAAATCCAGCCTCAGACATTTGACACTTACTAGTTGTGTGGCCCTGGGCAAGTCAAAACAAATTAAAAAAAAAAGAGGAAGGACAAACAATAAGATCTCATAGATTCATTTGAGTATTATGAGTATACATCTTCTTTGATGAAATTCAAGATTACAGATTTAGAACATGAAGGGACCTTAAAAGATCATCTAGTCCTGTCCTCTAATTTTATTCCCATTAAAATGTAAGCACCTTGAAGGCAGCCTTTTTTTTTTTTGCTTTTTTTATCTTCAGCATTTAATACAGTGACAATAATAGTTGACTGACTTATTGATAATACCACTTTCAAGCCAATAATACCTACACTGTGGCAAGTTTAGATGGTATTATCACACCACCTGAATGTCTCTGGACACTCTCAGAAGCCTTGAGTGATTGATGTGGTGAATGATGGGGGCATGCTCACTGTGTCCCAGGAAGACAGTTGTAGCTTTTGAGTTTACAGTAGAATGGAACTACAAAGGATCTTTCCCAGTTCTCCTTGATTTTAAAGAAAATAACCTGGCACCTGGTTTATCCAAGCACAACCTAGTACTACTTCTATTCAAGAGGCCAGAGGTCAAAGGTTTTGAAGTCCAAAGGGAACAGGTGGGTGGGGAACAGATTAGTTTATGATACATCATTGCTGAAGGTCAGTGTCACAAATCTTGGCTTCGAATTCTCCTGCTCCTGTGTGACTTGAAGCAAAGCAGTCTTTACCCACCTACCCTTATAAAGGGATTAAATTTGTTCTCTGTGGATCAGCATTCATTAAAAGTCTAGCATATTCAGAAAGAATAGGTGCCCAAAAAAGGGGAAGCAATATAATATGTGATGAAAAGACACTGATGAGTCAGATCTGGATTCCAATCCCACCCCTGGTGCTTACCTTTGTGACCTTAGTTAAGTCACTTTAACTGTCCTTGGCCTCATTTTCCTCATGCTGGACTTAGTGGTCTCTGAGAGGCCCTCCAGCACTAAATCTTTGATCCTATGGTTTTTGATTCCAGGAAAAGACTGAACCTTCATTGCACACTGTCATCTCAACATGTGCCTCTTTTTTCTGGGGATGCATAGAGCAAAGAAATGCTGGACCTGGAATCTAGAAAATTTGGATTCAAAACCTGCTTCTTACTCTCACCATGTTGAGCCTTCTTCATTTGTAAAATGGAGATTGTAGTATCTTGGGTTTGTAGTATAGTGCTCAAATAAGATAATATATGTGGAAAGTATTTTGTAAACCTTAAGGCTGAATGTCAGATATTATTACCCTGACTAGTATTAAATTGGATAGCTTACATAAGAGGTGACATTATATATGTTGGAAAGAGGCCTGGGATATGGGAAGTAGAGCACTGGGTTTCAGTCCTAGCTCTGTAACTTATTACCTGGGTCACCTTATATTTGTGATGACAAAGACCTGGAAATTAAAGTGTTACTTACCAATTGAGGAATGGCCAAACACATTATGGTGGGTAGATGAATAGCGCATTGGACATAGAGTCAGGAAGACCTGAGTTCAAATCCAGCCTCAGGCACTCACTAGCTACACGACCCTGGGCAAATCATATAAACTCTGTTTGCCTTTTCAACTGGGGAAGGAAATTGAAAACCATTCCACTATATTTGCCAAGAAAACCCCAAAAGGAATCACAAAGAGTTGGATGTGACTGAACAAGAAGAAGAAGAAGAAGTAACATAGTCAAAGTGAACAATTTTGAAAGACTTAAGAACTCTGATCAATGCAGGGATCAAGCATTATTTCAGAGGATTAGTGATGAAGAATGCTACCTACCTCCTGACAGAGAGGTGATACAGAATGAGACACAATTCCTTACATGGCCAATGTGGGAATTTGTTTTGCTTGACTACAGGTATTTGTTACAAGGGTTTTCTTTTTTTTTCCCCTAAAGGGGCAGGAAATGGGAGGAAGAGAAATAAAAGTCTGTTAATTAAAAAAAAAAAGTAGGTTTGTAGTCTGCTCCAGTTGCTACAGCAAGACTAGAAGACTAGTTTAATTTTTGTTTTGTTATTACTGAAAGGGGGTCTTCTCAGAATTAGAGTGTATTAATTATATAAAATAATGCAGTATGACTTCATAGGATAAAACTGAATCAAATAACTGATTGGCAGGTGTCCTAGTTTAATGTTTGGCTACTGAGCTTCTTAATCAGGAAATTCTGGGTTTGAACTCTTATCTCCCGTACTTTTTAGCCCTATGCCCAGGACAAATCACTTGGCCACTCTGGGGCCCAGTTTCCTCATCTCTAAAATGGGAAGAATAATAACACTTGTATATTATTATCCACTTATCCAATCTGTTGTCAAATCTTGTCATTTCAGCCTTCTAATTGGTTCCCTTCAAGTTTTTCAATTTCCAATCCATTTTCGACTCAGCTACTAAATCGATTTTCCTTAAGCTCAGCTCTGACTAGGTCAGCCTTCACTACAGGAATTATCTCCCTCTTCATTTCTGCCTCCTGACTCTCCCGGCTTCCTTCAAGATTCAGCTCAAATCCTACCTTCTGAAGGTGGCATTTCCAGGTCCTTCTCACTGCTACCGCCTTCTTTCTGAGTTAATATTGCATATCTTGTGTTGTTTTTACCATAGGAACTTTGCATATTGTCTCCCCTTTCTTGAGGCCCCGGACTATGTTTTTGCCTTTCTTTGTCTCCTCGGCACTTAGCACAGTAGCACAGTGGCACGTAGTGAACGCTTAACAAATGCTTGTTGACTTGTTAGCTGACCTGTAGCACTTAGAAGGTTGTTGTGAAAAATAAATTAGACTATGGAATGTAAAGTACTTTATGAAGCTTAAATCTCTATACAAATGTTGGTTATTATTAGTACTACTGCCAGTTGGGTCACAAATCACCATCATTTCCTGCTTACAAAATACATCGTTTATAACATTGATATTCATAACCGTCTTGTTGGTTGGGTGATTCAGCTGAAGAAATCTCTGAGACTGAGACAAGTGAAAGGACTTTCCGCTCAAGTCGCACTGCTGGTTAGGTAGCAGCGGAGCTGCTGGTTCAAGTCTTTTGCATCCCAAGTCCAAGTTCTTTCCACCGGATCACAACTTAGTCCTAGACTCGGGATCCAGTCCTATCTTCAGGTCTTGCTCTAGTCCTGCGGGACTTCCGAGGGGAGGCTGGGATGGGGGCGCGGCTCAGCTGGGCAAAGTTTGCCCGTGTGTTGTCTCGAGGGGGCGGGGCAGGAGGCGGGGCCGGGCCAAGCCGGGGCCAAGGAGGAGGCCACACCCTGAAACTACCTGAGTCCGGGAGGAAGAGTAAGAGTGAGAGCGAGAGTAAGAGAGGACTCCTGGCTGGACTTGGGATTTGGAGCGGACCCCGCGCAGCACAGTGCCGGCGGCCGGGCAGGAGAGCCGAGCGGAGTGAGGCCGGGAACCCACGAAGCGAAGCAGGAATCCTTGGAGCGGCTCCTTCGTTCCCTTTTCTCCGCCTCCGGCTCGGCTCGCGTGGTTTCTGCAGAGCCGCAGCCCCGGCTGCTATGGGAGCCGGCTGGCAGCCGGGAGCGCGTCACTGAGACCCCCGTCCTGGTTCCGTCGGTGGGGCAGCCCCTTCCTCACACTTTTCCATCAGGGACCATGAAGAGCAACCGAGCCCAGAAGGGCAGAGGCGGCAAGAAGGACCTCAGCACCGAGCTTAAGTACAGCCACCAATCCCAGGTGAGAGGGCGGCTCGGTGTCCAGTCCCGGGGCAGCTCCGAGCCGTCGGAGGCGCTCCTCAGGATCCCGAGGGGCCCTGCCCCGCCCCTCGGGGCGGTGAGCGGGGTGGGGTGGGGGGGACTTACGTTGGTGGCGAGGCGGCTGTTTTCCGATGTCTGGAGCTGCTTCCTGCTTAGGTTGAGAAGCCCCTTCTAGCCCGTCAGGCTAACAATACCTCCCCTCCCCCAGGCAGACGCCGCCCCGCCTTCTCGGCTCCCTTCGGCCTCTCACCCTGCGCAGACTTCTCACCCTGCGCAGACTTCCCTTCCTGGCTCCCCGGACCGGAGGCAAAGGGAACCCTGCACTGATTTCATAGCCTCCCCTTTGAGGTCAGAAATTGCTCCCCGTTCCCCCGTCCCCTCCATTCCCCTCCTTCCAGGATTTTCGGCCATCGAAGCGGAGGCGGGAGGAATTGTAGGAGTTTCTTGCTACCTTCCCCATTTCCTTTCCTGGCCTGGGCAGAGGCCACCTCATCTTCCCCCAGTTCCGGGCCTCTCCAGCCCAGTGCGCTGGTCTTTGGAAAGGGAACCCACTGGCTCTTCCCCCTTTTGTTTGTGGCGGGCCCTTGCTGGACAGGTGGAATTTCCTGTTTGGCAGGTGCCTGGCCTCTGCCTGGTGAGGGAGGACAGGGAGGAAGGACTGAGGCTGTGGGATTGTGGATGCACGCCAGATCTTTGAGGAGCAAACCCCAGCCTTCGGAGGCCAACTGAAAGAAAGCGGGGGCCTTTATAGCTATAAGGCTGAGAATAAATGAGAAATAGTTTAAAAAAAAATCTCCGGGGCCTGCATGTGGAAAGGACCTTTAGGTCTGTACCAACTTTTCAGCTTTGCATATACCCTACTATCTTTGCCTCTCCAGCTTTACTCAGCTCTGCTGCCTGAAGTCTCATTAGCATCATTGAACCATGCTTTAGCATGTGGATAAAGGAAGCGCTGGTGTTTAAATCCAGATTGGGTTTGGATGAGGAAGAAGAAAGGAAGAGAGAACACTTTTCTTCTGGATTTTAAAATTCGATCCTTGAATTTTGGGTATTATCTCCCCTTTGAGAATTTTCCCCTAGTTGAGAATTTTTCTTCTCTCCCACAGAGAAGCTTGGGAGCTCTGCTTTGTTGCAGTTTAGAGGGACTGCAATTGTTTAGTTCAGCATGGAGGCCTAGGCATGGGCCTTTGTAGGACTTCTCTGGGTGCAGATGATCCCCAAGTAGGGAATGGGAAGTATTATTGGGTTTTCTAGCCAGGTTGTTTTAAGGCAACTTCTTAAATATAAATTCCCACCCCCAACCACCCATCCTGGAACCTACAAGCCTATAGTTGTAGGGAACTTCCTGTGTGAAAATTGATGCAGATCTGCAACTTCCCTGTAACTCAGAGCCTTAGAGAGTCGTTTGGGGGCACTGAGGGGTTAGGAGACTTGCCCATATTCACACAGGTAATATGTGTCAAAGGAAGAACTACCCCTAAGGCTGAATCTCTACCTATTACATCATGAAGGCAAAATAAAGATACAAGGCAGAAAGCTCAAGCCGATTGATCGTGAAAAGATGCATAACTCCTTCTCCAGAGATATCTAAACTGAATCATAGAATTTCAGAGTTGGAAGAGATCTCAGCCACCATCTCATCCAGCGTATCCAGCTCTGCTGGAAGGCCACCAATGAGGGGGAATGCAGCTGTTACAAGGCAACCCATTTTGGGTTTGGGCAGGCCTAATGGTTAAGGAAATTTTCCTGACACCAAACCTAGATTACAGCCTCTACCCATTGCTCCTGGTTGTACCCTCTGGGGTCAATAGTTCTACATGACAACCTTTCAAATACCTGATATTATATACATCCGGGTATCTCTCTCTCTCTTTCTCTCTCTTCCCTCCCCATTCTACAAGCTAAACATGCCCAGTTCCTTCAGCCAATCCTCATATAAACTCTTTTTGTTGTCTTGATGGGGGACATGTAGCGGTTTCTATTCTTCTTTTTTCCCCTACTTTGCACTGAGTTGTGAGTCCTTCAGTATAGAGATCGCTTGGTGGGGAAAAGTTCTCTGGAAATACAGGTAGGCACTTACTCTGCAGTTTATGGTCTTTGCTGCTTGGGACACCAAAAGAGAAAGTGACTTGTCTGTGGTCGCACAGCCAGCAGATCTTCCTGATCCTGTCAGCTCTTTACCCACTCTTCCATGATACCTTTCTTATGCTATAGAAAGAAAAAACCCATACACTTATTAGCTGTGTGACCCTGGGCAAGTCACTTAACATCATTGCCTAGCCAAAAACAAAAAAAAAGAAAGAAAAAATCAATGTAGAACTGTCCATTCTCAGTGTAGACACAGCACTCTCACTTCCAGTCCCAAGTGATATCCAGGTAACCAAAGCTAACATTTCTGTGTTTCCCTGGGTCTCTGGGTGAGAACTCTGAGAGAGACATATTTTCAAGTACTTAGGGTTAGGTTAAGAGCCTTTGCTACAGTGTAAGGGTCATATTGCCATACTCTCTTTTTTCTGGATATGTGCTTCCTCTTCTGTGGTAGAGACCACAGCTGCTGTTCTGGGCCCCAGGCTCCAGTGGCAGATTTCTGAAGCATTTCTGATCTTGTTACCTCCCTCCCCATATCACATCCTGAGGTATTGAGCTTATGGAAGGGTAGATTCTAGGGCTACCTTAGCTGGTTGTTGTCTTTCATTCTCGAGGACTGAAATGACATCACTATGTTAGAGTCAAGTTACAGTGCATCTGACTGTGGCTGACCAGACCAATACAAGCTCGGAATGCTTTCACCATGGGTCGGGCACAAATAGTCCATGCGAACATTTGGGGTGGATTCTCCAGATTTGCATAGGTTGCATTTCTTTTGAGCTACTTCAATTCTGCTTTGCTTATAAAGCACAGCACTTTCTCTGATGGAGGGCATGCCATGCTGGATGGTCCTGTGCCAGTGTCTCTCATGTCACATAATCAATTCCAAAGTTCTTAACAGAGACCTTGAGAGTGTCCTTATATCGCTTCTTCTGACCACCATGTGAGCACTTGCCCTGTGTGAGTTCTCCATAAAATAGTTTTTTAGGCAACTTTAGCTACACAAATCTTGAGGGACAACTGAAATTTGAGCCCTGTGGTTTTCTTTTGTTTCTCATTCATTGAAAAGGAAGTGTGATCAGAGCAGGTCCCCAGAAAGACTTTAGCCTCTGTCTGATACCACCCTTGCAGTGCTACACATCTACTCACTAATCTTTTTGTTTTCCGTATAGTAATTGTGGTGTTTATGATTTCCTGATAATTGCCTACTTGGGTCTTAGCCTCCTGCCTTCTCAGCAGAGGGCCGGTTATTTGTTGTTTTAAGTTTGTTTTTCTCCTGTGCCTACAAGTCACCTGTTCTTCCCATCTTTCTTTCTTTTGGCGACAGCCTGCTGCTGACAATCGAAACCTTGGTCTCACTTATAACCTCTCAGTTCAGTTCAATGCACACTTATGTATTTACTTTTTTCAGAGCGCTGTGCTAGGTGCTGGGGGGGGCGATGCAGAGTCCTGTGTAATCAAGTGAAACGTACAACAAATAAAATATAATAACAAAAGAAAACTAAATATGTAAGAGAGAGACGGTATAGGAGAGAGAAAATAGCATTATCTACTTGTGGTAGGGGCAAAGAAGATCCCAGAAGAATTTATGGAGGAGGTGATATTTGAAATGGGACTTGAAGAAGTAGGAATTCTCTGGGGGGAATTTATAATTGAAGGTTTTAAAAATACATCTAAAGGACACTTTCTGTTTTTATATCATCTGCCTTTGTCAGTATATCCTTATAGTACATACTTTACGCCGTGTTATTGTGGGGAACAAATAAGATAATGGATGTAAAGCACTCCTAGAAAGTTGTGATACAAAAAAATCAAAGGAAAAAAATATTGTTCAACAAAACTAAGTAATAGATCCAAAAATGATCTGGCATATGCATTGTTCCATGCCCATAGTGCCCCCTCCCACACTGACCACTCAGTCATACCAAAAAAGATGGGAGGGACCTTTTCAAGTATCTTCTTTGGGACCAAATTTGGTTATAATTTAACAGCATTCAGTTTCAATTGCTTTGTTCTTTCTGTTTACATTGTTGTAGTCACCGTGTATATTGTTTTCCTGGTTTGCAGCGTTTCATATAAATCTTTCACTTCTCTAATTATCATAATCATCATAGCGGGTTTTTTGGTTTATTTCACAGCACACTGATAATATTCGTTACCGCAACTGTTTTAGTCATTGCAGGGTAGGATTTCAATAGGTGGAGACAGCTGTGCTGGGGAAGAAAATGATATTTCAAGTGTAAGGATAACTGTGCAAAGGCTTATTTGACGGGCATATAGCATGCATGTAGGAAAGCGTGAAATAAGGGTGGAAAAGTATGGTGGCACCAGATTGTATATGGCCTTGAATGTAAGGCTAAATGTTAGGCAACAGGAAGTTGCTGAAAAATTTTGAGAAAAGGAATGACATGAGAAGCAGTACTCTGGGCAAGTCATTTAACCTCTATTTCCTCATCTGTATAATGGGAATAATGATAGCATGTGCCCCCCAGGTCTGTTGTAAGGATAAATGAGGTAATATTTTTAAAGCACTTGGCAAGTCTTAAAGTGTTATGTAAATACTAGCCATTATTATTAAGTCATTTGCCCTTTCTGAGCCTTAGTTTCTTCATCTGTAAAATGGGGATAATGATACATGTAGTATCTGGTTGTTGTGAAGATCAAATGAAATAATGTGTGTAAGGCTTTTTGTAAACCTTGAAGTGATATATATAAATGTCAGTGATTATTATTGTTATCTTCATCATCAGGTTTGTGCATAACAAAGACTAATCTGTCGTTTGTATGAAGGGTGGATTGGAGTGGAATGGAAACTGGTTTGGATGATATTGTAATAGTCCAAGTGGGAAGTAATGAAGGCCTGAACTAGGGTGGTGGCAGTGAGAGCAGAAA